GTGCTCCAAACTGTACAATGGCTTAGGCTCGTACGGGTTTGATATGTTAAAATGTCGTGTTGGAGCTCTTGTTTACTAGTGTTGGCCTGTCAAAACTTGACAGATGACACATACGGATATTTTGTTATGAATATTCAAAGTTTGTGATAATTATGTATTGTTTCAGCCATGGGCGGATTTCCAAACAATTGGCAGTCCTCGGGCACGCATGGCTTCATGGCTTTGACAGCATGGCATGTACGGAGTTAGCAAGTTCAGATGTGATCACAATGATTATGCGGAAGCTGTAACTCAAGAACGCAACATGGTGGTGTCCTGGCACTTGGACTTCGCATGGAACACGCTATCTTCTTGGTCTCCACTCCTGCCAGACTGCTCAGTCCAGCATAGCCGAAATACTTTTAACTGGCCGCGAGGTACCCATAACCTTTCTGTGCATTAGCATTCCGGAACGTACGGTAGAACACGGTGTCGAAAGTTGGTTAGAAAACGCAGGTCCGTTGGGGTTGTCAGATTCAGAAGGCTTTCTTCTTATGCAACACCATATGCATAATATTCAATTTGCTAAAGCTAGATAACGTGTCCCCACCGCGCTCTGGAGGAGCCAACGGCAAAAACATGTCGATAAATCTGCGCGCAACCGTCAATTTTTCTGAAAATGGTGCAGGTATTGGTGCTGGCGCGGTTGCCAGTGCTGACGTGCCGCAGATACGTGTGGCATCAAAGCACAGCCGGCCGCGGTTGCGACGCCAGGGGAGCCATTGTCCGGCTCCAGCTGGTGTCCGTCACTCGCTCCTGCTGCCGTCCATCAGCCGGTGCGCGGTAATTAGAGGCGGGCGCGTCGGCGGCGGGCGTTCGTCCGTCTCACGCACAGCACACAAAGGCACGCGTGGTGCGAGCCATACGGCAAGATCCCTCGCTCCGAACACGCTCAATGGTCTCTTCCCCCAGTGAGTCTACTCAAGGGATTTAATTCCACCACTTCGCAGAAAGCGGAAAAACAGCGGACTTTTTCTGAGTCCCAGAGCGCTAACACTACTTAATTTGCCAGACCTCGTCGCCTCGGCTTGTCTGACACGACAGCATCACCGTGGCTGTTCGCAAGCCGCAGTGCGACAGAAGAACGTCTTTTCAGGCGGAAAACAGCGTAGGGTGGAATGTTGATGTGACATCTCAGGACAGCGGAGGCAAGTAAGCAGGACTGAATAATGCACGCCTCCAGCAAGCTGATGTAGATGCTTGTCTAAGGGTAAGGCGGAGAGCAAGCTGTCTTCGTCGAACAACAGCTAGCAGGCAGTTTTAGTTCGTGAGAAGTAAGTAGGGGGCCTTCCCTCTTCACTTCACAGACATTTTAGTTACAGCTAGACCAACCTCTTCCATTGTTTCCCCGCTCAAATGTGTTTACTTTTCTCAGGTATGCCCTATAGATATGCCCTTTGTCTACGACACAGGACTTTTTACATGTTTACTGCAAAGAAATTGATTGAACTGCTCGGGGCCAAATCCATCCCCTCAATCACTGAATATTTCCGTCACACTTCCACCTGCTGTAGCCGTAATGTCCTCAGCTCTGTGGTTTATCGGCCGCTCTTTTTTACCGGCAGTACCTCACTCTGGCGTAATTGGCGTCATAAGTTGTCACACCGGCCACAAAGAAAGTACTGCATCGGAGCCAGTAGTGGGCCATACATTTGGTGCAGCACATTACTGAGCCATGATGTATAAACGCTGCCTCTCTCCGCAACATTTTCTCACATGGCACGCGCGTTTGTACGACCATCCACGGGATCCCACGGCCGATGTGTCAAAGCAACAACAAAAAACGGCAAAAAAGAAACGAAAAAGAGCCTCTTGCCCCGGGCGTGATACACAACTTTGAATGCGTCATTTTGCAGTAAGGGTTGACCGGCCGGGCCATGGCGGCCGTTGGCAAACCATGCGTTACTGCATGCTTTGGTCTAGCTGCAAATAATGGTCCACAGGTATTAACGTTCACAACTAAAGACGCACATGATTTCTAACTGAAGAATCCCATGATTTGTAGCAAAAGACGAGCATGACAACATGCTCTTCAATGCGCGACTAGTCTCAATATCATATCAAACGCTACCTAATTTCATCCATGTTTTCCAACTTTTATCTTGCAAGCCCCAAAATGCAACGTATGCTCGTGTGGAGAAAATAAGGTGCAGTATTACAGAGCAAGGTTTCTGCCATAGCTCACAAACTTGATGTTTCTGAAGATGTGTCATGTTCCTCGTGGGCAGCATTTGCCGTACGTTAAAGAAATTATTTCACGTTTGCGTATAGTTTTGGACTGAAATTACCACTTTGAAGATTATTTGGTGGAGTTCACAGCTCACCCCTTCTTGAGACCTAAAACCATTTATTTTCTGAGTTACACGTCCGCGAAAATGTGCAGACTGTTTCGTGCGAACCATTTCAATGTCATTCAGACATGCACAATGCCATAGCAACGCCATTCACATCATGCCACCACATAGCCCATGCGGCGTTCAAGTTCAGGAAGAATTTTTCGTCGAGTCGTTCAGATCTGGCGTACCTGAGCGCAATTTCCAAATATGGCGGATGTCAACTGACTCTCAATCAAAGTTGAACGGGCTGTGCAAGTTTTAATCGCGAATCACGTTTTGTGCTACATAAAGGAAAAAGTTGGACATGATCGCTAGCTTTTAGAGAAATGACATGCAATCAAATAGCTTAAGACTAGCGCCATAACTGAGCGTGTCAATACAAGAAAAGTATTAAACGATGCATGAAAACACCACAAGAAACTGATAAAACACCAACACAAACGGTATTTGGCTCAGCGAATACTTCCAGCTCCACCACTCCCATTTCTCAGCGAGTTTCAGGTACTACAAGTGAGTCAGGGGTAGCAATTTCTCAAGGCTAGTTGGTAGCACCGCATCGTCATACAAAGTTCAAAGACAGAATCATACAATGACGTTAGGAGGAGCATAACCACTAAATGGAGATTTTTTGCGCGGAGCAGTTTGTTTCATTAACGGCATGCCAACAGTTATTAAGGTACTTATAGCATGACGTCTGGTGCCTAATGCAAGGTCTTCAAGCATAGAACGTTTCCCTTAAATGTTTGGAGCTTTACAAGATGCTTTTCTGGGCGAAAAACCTGCAAACTACCGCATCAGGCACTAAGCACTTACTGTTATATACCGCGGACAAATATAGATCGCAACGCATCCGCATTTCTGCCAATTTTGTGAACGTGTCACACCAGATGCCTTGTTTTTGGAGCCAGCAATGTGCACATCTTCTACAATAGATGTCAGTGACAAAAACATGGAATATTGTAAAACTATTTCCATTGAGTTTTTGGCATGCTAGGCTCTAGGCTCCAGGACCCAGGTCATGTGGTCTAGCAGCATCAATTTGCATTGTAAGTGTGCCTAGAATTTCTAGGAACGCCTAGGTATTAAGCATTAGCTCCCAAATATTGCCAACTTTCACATCCTTCCATCCAGTCAGGCGTAAATTAGGAGTCCTTATCCCGTCTCTCAAGCCGAGATGGCCGCCGAAGCCTGCCACGCGATTGGCAATTACAGAAAATCCGCACATTCTGGGCGAGTGAAAATCCTCACTGCAGAGCAATTAGCGAGGTCTTTTAAGGCATCCAAGTCTCAGACGGTCTCTTGGGTTAGCCATACGCCAAGGTGCGGATAGCAGTGATCGTGGCATAATTGCCGGTTTGACATGGAATTACACCATGAAATTACACCTTATATTAAAAGGCCTCATCTTCCTTGAGACATGTAACTTTTTTGTAAGGTTACGGCAATATAGGCGTTTTTGCTGATGCACACTTTCCTCCTCTGTTTGTATGTATAATTCACCTTGCGTCGATTATGTAATGGTGATGATTTGGGTTTTAGGGCGTTACAGCTGTTACTAGGCCTTGCGCTGGCTGGTGTGCCACTGCCGAAGAGTGTGCAGCTCCTGGCGGTCAGCACAGCGCTGACGTCGCTTCACCACTAAAATGACGCTTTTATTATGGAATTTGCTGGAACCTGACTTCAGTCCCAACATTGCTCATTGCATGATACCAGCAGTTCTTTACTGCTGTTGGATGAAAACAATTTGAAAAGGTGCAAAGTTCACAGTTCAAGTTGAGCAGGTCCCGTCAAGCTTCCATAAACGGCCCCCGCCGGCGTATCACCCGCGCATACCCCGCTGGTCTGTTAGCAAACGCATCTCAGCAATATTTGTGCCGGTGTATGCCGCGACAGTCATTTGTCTCTGAGGTGTTCTCAAACACCAGTTCAGTAACCCATGGCTCACTTGACCAGCGCATGATTAGCCAAGAGGCTGCACGAGATTGCTGTTGAAGAGTTATCTATTGCACTGGCGATGTTTGTATATATAATATATATTATATATATATTATATATATATATATACCTGGTGTTTTTGCCAGTGGCCTCGTTTAACTTAAAACTCCTTGTCCTTCGCCTTCTGTGACCTGGTCTTCAAGAGATCATCACCTCGGCTACGCTGTGAAAATGTATCGCCTCCAGCATTTCTGGAAGAAAATATAGGAGAGGGCAGGGTTGACTTCGTTAGCACCTCCAGGTCATGCCACTCTGGCCAGGCCGAAAAGGCGTGTCTTGACGGAACTGCGCATGCTCGTTAGGTGATTAGTCCCTGTCACATAACGCTTGAAAGAACGGCTCCAAAGCACGCGCCAGTACTTTTCCAGCGGCAATGCCTAGTTATGATGACGCTTGCATTGATCGTTGTGTAGTCGCTGAGTGCCAGGAACACTGAGGTTTGAGGGTGAGCTTGAATTCTTTTTGTCACGAAATTTGTCAGCGTCGATCTTTCTACAGTCACAGTGTCACTTGTGCAGGCTTGTGTGACGCGCCACTTCCGTCCGTTGCAGGCTGCCCTGAGATGCGGCATCCTCCGGTCCGGGCCGCCAGCGGGTGTCGGGGGGCCGGCTGACCTGCCGTCTCGTCCGGTGCCGGGCGCCGCTGACCTGTTGTGACCTCTGGCGCGCCGACCTGTCGGCCGCCCGCCGGCCGACGACGCCAGCCATCACTATGCCGAACCGGAAGGGCCTGCTGGCCCCGCAGAACACGTTCCTCGACACGATCGCCACGCGGTTCGACGGCACCCGTGAGTGACTGGGGTGCGGCTTGATGACACCCGTAAATGGCTTGGGTGCGGTTCAACGGCACCCGTGAGTGGCTGGGGTGCGGTTCGACAACACCCGTGAGTCATCGGAGCGGGGTTTGACGACACCCGTGAGTGGCTGGGGTGCAGTTCGACAACACCCGTGAGTCACCGGAGCGGGTTTGACGACACCCGTGAGTGGCTGGGGTACGGTTTGACGACACACGCCAGTAACAAGCGTGCGGTTTGACGACGCACGCCTGTGACCAGGGTGCGGTTTGACGACATACGCCAGTGACGAGGGTGTGGTTTAAACGACACGCCAGTGGACCAGCGTGCGGTTTGACGACGCACGCCAGTGACCAGGGTGCGGTTTTGACGACACACGCCAGTGGCTAGGATGCCGTTTGACGACACACGCCAGTGGCCAGGATGCTTCGGCGCGCCTTTTGACGCCCGGACTTCAAAGGCTCAGGCGGATCGCTCAATTATTCGACCGACTGCAGGTCAAGATGGTCTTCAACAGCGTCGCGCGACTAGAATTTCGTTCAGGGGGAACGGTCTGAAGATTCTCTTACTTGATAGAAAAGCCACGGCGGTAGATGGGTTTACTGACGATAGTGCGGCCATATTTGGGTCCATGCTCTATTGATCAGGGGATCAGTGATATTATTATGGTTGCGAAGAGTCCATTTGCATATCAGGGGAAGGCAGCTTCTCACAGGCGTTGAGCGCCGGCTGCACACCGTATTAGGACAATGACACAGCTGTGTCTCACTCTCAACCAGGGACAAAAAATTGTTTCGCCAGCGCAAACATGTTCTTTGTGAATCCAACGGTCTCCGTTATCTTGACATGTTCTGGCATCCCTTTCTGGCTGAAATCTTTTTGTTTATTAAACACCTCTCGCTATGCATCTTAGAAGCATCACGTTCTGCTCCAAAACCCTTGGGAAAGGACAAAAACCATTTGTGGGTCTACTGTTTCGTCGCAGCTCAGCTCCTCAGCGGAATATTGAAAAAAACGTCGGTCAAGATAGTTATTTTTAGTTTTAACGCTCTTTATGCTGGCCTAGCAGTGGCATACTGTATGTCATCATTGATATTAATATTACAATGATATATGTATATGTACATATAGATATACATTTAACTGTATACACACTGGCGTAGTTGCTTCAAATAGTGCACCCGTCCACGAAAGAAACATCTTAGTACTCTGCACCTCCACCTTCCATCCTTAATTTTTATAATTAAGATACACAGTGTGCCACTCATTACATGCACGGTACAGTTTGTTATCGTTACATCAGCTGAGTGACTACATCGTTGCCCATGGCCAACTTAACCCCAGCTCCTTCCTGATTGGCATGTTTCATGCCCAAGATTGAACGAACCGTTTGCAAAGTCGGTCAATTGGTTAGTTGTGGGGGCGCCGAGAAGACAGTTGGGTAGCCCGGCGGGTACGCGGCACAGAGGTGCGTATTCGGCACAACCGCGTGTACTCGGCACAACGGCGCGTACCCGGCATAGCATCGCGTACCCGGCACAGCGTCGCGTACCCCTCACAACGGCGCGTACCCGGCACAAAGGCGCGTACCCGGCACAACGGCGCGTCGGTTCAGCCTCACTGCCTCAGATTGGCATAAGTCGCCTGTTGGTTTTAATTCTGGTCAGTAGCAGGGTTAAGACAACGCGACGTGCATCGTTACTTTGCCCTGTGTCAGATGCCATAAGCTGGCTTTACCATATTTCGCCTAACCTTCAGCCAAAAATAAATTCCCGGCACGGATGTGACTTCAGGTTATTGTGAAAACAGCTTCTGACGTCAGTAAGGAACGCAGCAAATCCTACAGATGACATAGATACGGCTTTAGACGACTGCCAGCAAATGCGACGCGTTCGTGACGCCCACATTCGACACATTCCGGCCTGATTGTTATCGTGTCAAATCCAGCTGCCTTCAGCTCCTTCTTCAGTTCGTTCCGTCTTTGGCTCGCCTGCCGATCGAGACAATTCCTGTTCTGACCAGCTTGCTGCCCACGGCCAGGCATGCATGCTGCGTGGTATTAAACAGCCCAGCACGATCCTTTAGCTTATTTATTGCGATGTGTGTAGTTCGATTTGACAGCGAGCGGTGACTCGAACCTATCGGTATTTGTTTCTGTCTCGATTGACAGCGAGCGGTGACTCGAACCTATCGGTGTTTTTCTGTCTCGATTTGACAGCGAGAGGTGACTCGAACCTATCGGTGTCTTTCTGTCCTCGATTTGACAGCGAACAGTGACTCGAGCCTATCGGTGTCTTTCTGTCTCGATTTGACAGCGAACAGCGACTCGAACCTATCGGTGTCTTTCTGTCTCGATCTGACAGCGAGCGGTGACTCGAACCTATCGGTGTTTTTTTCCGTCTCATCGCCACAACGCTCCAGCTTGGACACTAAATCGGACAACCTGCCCCAGATACACATTTGGCATGTCCTATCAAAACTGTGGCACCCTATACTGCCCACAGGCAGCTTCGGGCGTTGTTTGTGGGAGACATCTCGAAATAAATCGTAGCCTATTCCGAGGAATGCTTTGTTAGAGCCCTTCTGCGGCAAAAAGCAATCTTCTACCAAAATACATGTTCATATCAGATGCATCTTAAAAAGCCTTTTGCTACACTTAATGGAAGCTGAATTGGCATAGTTGTGCGTAGCGAGCGAGAAAGAAGGTTTATGTCATGCATCGACGTTAGTTTCGGAGCAAAATTCTGGTGCCTCCTTATGCGACAGCTGTAGACCTATTGCCAGCGATATGTTCGTTGTTACCTTTGAAAAATTACGTAGGCTGCTCAGTGCTTTGGCGAGGAACATTAGCCACATATATAAAACAGTAGTATTAGCCTTATTCCTCGGAAAATCGAGGAATAAAAACCGACATTCACTTCTGCTGTTGTTTCGAGAAAGGCATGTTGCCGAAATATCAACCTTATTATATCACTTATCTCCTGGTTTTTCGGAGGAATGAGGCTAATACTACTGTTATCAATGTTACCTTTGCAAACATTTGAAACGGTGAAAAAGCAGGCGACACGGTCGTGTACATCCAAATATGGTATAGGATAAGGGAGGAACAGTGGTTCATATGTCAACCTGGAATTGGGTCTGATATCAAAAGCAGACTCCCAAAGCTGCTGAGGCGCATGGACGAAGCCAGACGCAGTCTCATGATTTGAAATACTGGGGGGGGAGGGGGAGGGGGGGACTGCAATTGTTAGGATTTGTACGCATCTCAACTCTGTATTACACATGTCTCCCCCCCCCCCCCCTAGAGCTTTGCATATAATCTATGCCCTCCAACTGATCTGGGTCATTACAGAAACGTGGATAAAAAGTTTAACGATTTGGTATAAGGTAACAGGGGCGCATCCAGAATGTTCGTAATAGCGAGGCCTGAGTTCGGTGAGAACGCATCGCACCTATTTTTAATATTTTGCTAGGAACCACGCATAGTGAAAAAGCAACCTGTTGTACAAGGGAGGGGGCGGGGGCGGGCAAAGTTTGGTGAAATGATATTGAGAAAATAAAAAAATGTCGTATGGGTTTCGTAAACCTTTATAAAAAAACCCGGAAAACATACTCACATCTCATAAAATTCCAAAGCGGGTTAGCCCTTGCCAACCAGCGCTCTTGTCACCTTTGTCCTACGACGGGAGGGGAGGGGGGACGCGTTCAAAGGGTCTCCAATATCTCGGAAACTAAGCGAAACCTTGAGCCATGGAGAAACGGGATTACGCAGCTCTAGTTAATGGGCATACAGGTGTGATTGAACAACAGTGAAAATAATTCTCGACATCAGGTCAAGTCATCAAGAGCAATTATCATTTCAGAAACCCCCGTTTTCTCATGACCTAGGCGTGTTACGAAAAGGCGGAAACGGCGTTTGATGACCCTTGCAAATCTTTGACCAGGCGGGTGCTATTGAATACGAATATATGTGGCCCGTAATATATCAAAAACGGCCAAAAGGCAAAATTAAACATTTATAGATGCTGCATTGGCCGGTGCAGGTACATGAAGAAAACCCAACCAGCCACATCAGCGGAGGTAAACAGCGTTAGCAAGAAAATTTTAAAAACTGTAAGGTATGTTTCATTCATGATCAAATTATTGCAGACTCAAAAGACCAAATCCCGTGACAAAGACAGAACGATGATAATGTACTAACCAATGACATTTAATCACCTATTAACTTGCTTTTTAATGTTTAACTTTATCGCTGCTTGATTCAGATTTCAACAATCAAGTTAGACAACCTCTGCAGCTCATTGCCAGCAAAACAAAACAAAAACACAAAAAAAACGGCACGTTCCCCACTTGGACAAAACTTCACTCACATGACTTCGAGAAAGATGTAACAGATCATAGGCCGCAGTAATTAAAAAAAACAGATTTTCGCAAGAGCATGAACTCTTAGTCAAAAGTCCCGCACCGTGTTCAAACCCCGTGGAGAAGTGCTTCTGAATAAAACTGTATGGCATAGTCTCTGAAGCCTATTCCCTAGACGAAGATTAAATATGACGTAGACGAGGTATGTGCCCATGAGGCAGATTCTGTCTAGAGCGATAACGAGGCAGCACACTTATAACGAATTTGTTTATTGGCCTTTGAGAAAGCTCAGCTCTGCTGTTTCCCTAGGCATTATCACAGGAGCCGGCATGGCTGTAGCCCCCATATCCGAGTGCACAGGCTCACTTGGACGGATTCTTGGCACCCGTCGCTGGGGGTGTCTTGGAGTCTCTTTCATTTTGACAGCACCTCTGTTTCTATGCAGCTGATAGGGCCTGAATTCGTGCCCAATTCGTGTTTCCTGGTCTCCTCCTTCCCTCCCTGCCGGGATGTCAGAAGTTAATCGGCCGATTTGGCGATCTGTCAGATCGTCTCATATCGTTGATCTATATCGCCTGGAAGCGTGGCGCAGCATACGGCGGGAGCGCATAACTCTGGCAGCTGCCACAGTG